CCCCGCCCTCCTGGCTGCCCCCGCCCTAGCCCAAGCCCCGCTAGCTAGGCCCCTGCCTCCGCGCCCAGAAACCCTGGAGGAGCGTGGAGTGAGGATGGCACGGTCAGGCAATCCCCCGGAGTCCCTGGGACTCCTGTTTCATCCCATTCCGGCCACGCTCCGGAGCGCCAGCACCTCTGCCTTCTGTTCCAGGAATCACTCTTTCAGACACCTGCGTACCCTACTCTGAGAGAGGTTCCTGAAATGGGGAGCGCAGAGAAAGGATCTAGTCAGAGACCAGAGGGAAGGAACAGGGGCCACCGCGTCTTCCTCGGAATGCACCCTCTACCCTCCCGGACTTCTGCCTGCTCCATCTTTGCCCTCTGAATCTAGATCCCCGAAGTTGTCCCGGCCCAACTCAGGGTGCAACAGGCAGAAATAAGACTTTAAAGAGACGTGAGAGTAACCTAGGTCCTCAGGGCCAGTGACTAGGTGACCCCCTGTCCCTCCCAGGAAGTGTTTGTCCACTAAACATCCTGTCTCTATAGTCCTGCCTTTCGGGAACATGAGTTTATCTGGCAGAGATGGGAGGGTATTTGCCGCCTTCCTCTTGACCCGGCGTGAACTGTGCTGAGAATGGACTTTGGCGGTGATCAGCTGCCCCACGTTAAGCCTTGTAGGTCTCCCATCCCCGTCCCCAGGCCTAGAGTCTCCCAGACACTCTTTGACGATTGCATAAGTTCCCAGCTACCCCTGCAGACAATAGTCCCTCAGATAATCGCTTATGCATTCCCATATAGTTTCCCCAAAGCAACCCTAGAGGAAACAGGCCATTTCACAGATCAGGAAATTGAGGCCTGAAGAAGGGAGGTTCTGCACCTCTGCCAGGGCCCAGTACTGTGAGGCTGCGCTTTGACCTTGAAGTATCTCCTCAGGCATAGAAAACAGCTGAGATCTAGGCTCACCCACAGCCTGCTTCTCCCCAGCCCACTGCTCCTCACTTACCTGGTGCTCCCGGGTCAGGTACAGCCAGCTCAAACAATTCCCCATGTGGATAGAAGACGCAGCTCTAGCTCAGGGTTCCCTTCTCCCTCTCTTCTCTCCAGAGTCCTTAGCTAGGGAGAGCCCTTGGCTCTTCACTTCCACCCAAGCACCAGGACCCGCCTCTGAGTGTAGCATCCTAGGCAGCAGCCCCTTGGGTACCCACACCCTAGTGGCTGCCCCTGAAAGGCACTTAGGCTGAGGATGCATTGTTGCTCCCCGCCCCCCACCCTCTGCAGATTCTAGCGGATGCCGCCATAGGCTCTGGCCTGGCTGGCCATCTCCATCTGCCTGCCTATCCGGATTTGCCCGTCTGTTTTAGGACTGGTTTCTGTGGACACAGCCTAATGCTGCTACCCACGAGATTGTTAGGTAATGTGTAGAAACCTTGTGCTCACTGCATTTCCCGCCTCTGTGGAAGCTGGAAGTTATCCCGCAGCAACCAGCAACATCCCCGACCTCTGACCGCAGCTTTGTGGTCACACTAAAGGGACTGGCAAGATGGGAGCTCTCCAAGCCAGGACTTGAGGAAGACTGGTGACTTCTTCTCACCTCAACCTTGGACCCTCATTGGCTTTCTGTCGAGGACTCAGCCTATGAATGAAGATGGGATGAGAACAAAACCGGACCAGGAACATACGGTCCCGGAGGGGACACCACACTGTAGTCACAGAGAAGTACCAAAGAAGCTCCCACTGCCAAAGGGCTGAAAAGTCCCGAGGAAGGTGACGGTAACAAGCCAGCAGCAAGCCTGGGCCAGCAGTGCAGAACAAGAAGGGGAAAGAGGCAGCCAGAGGCAGCGCCTCTGCAATCCCAACACTCCAGAGGCTGAAGCAAGATGATGACAAATTTGTAGCTAGTCTGGATATCATGTGTCAAAAACAAGGACAAACCATGGGCCTGGAGAGATGGCTCAACCTTTAAGAGGACCAGGATTTGATTCCCAGCACCCACATGGCAGTTTAGAACCATCTGGAAGGATCCGATGCCATCCTCTGGTGGTGCACAGACATTTAAAAAAAAAGTACATGCCACTACCACCACATGGCAACAAATTATATAAATAGCTCAGTTTTTGGAGACAGTGTTTCTCTATGTAGCCCTGGAACTTACTCTGTAGGCTAGGCTGGCCTCAAACTCACAGAGATCCGCCTGCCTCTGCCTCCCCAGTGCTGGGATTAAAGTTGTGCGCCACCATTGCCCAACAACAAATCTTTTAAAATGAACAAACAAAATCTTTTGAAAGCTATCATCTTTTTAAAAAAAATGGAACTTTGGGGCTAGAAATATGTCTCGGCAGTTAAGAGCCCTTAGAGCATGTATTGTTCTTACGAGGGACCTGGGGTCTGACTTCCAGAACCCAAATGTCAACTCACAACCATTCATAATATCAGTCTTGGGGGTCCCAGCACCTCCCAACAAGTGGAACATAAATATACATGGAAGCCAAACACTCATACACATAAAAACAAATAATTCTTTAAAAAAAAACTTAAATACTTTGAATTAGGCTGAAAATTCCTACTGAGGTAGAAAGCCAAGGTACTGGGTAGGAAGGAAGCTGAGGTATTGAGGTAGGATGCTGAGATACCAAGGTAGGAAGTCAAGGTACTGAGGTAGGATGCTGAGGTACTGAGGTAGGAAGACAAGGTACTGAGTTAGGATGCTGAGGTACTGAGGTAGGATGCTTAGGTACTGAGGTAGGAATCTGAGGTAATGAACTACGAAGATGAGGTACTGAGGTAGGAAACTGAGGTACTGAGGTAGGAAACTGAGGTACTGAGGTAGGAAACTGAGGTACTGAGGTAGGAAGATGAGGTAATAAGGTAGGAAGCCAAGCCACTGAGGTAGGGTTGTCATGAGTTAGAGGCCAGCCTAAGCTACAGGAGGACCCTGTCTCAAAAACACAAAGACAGGAATGTAGCTCGGCTGGAGAGGGCTTGCTTGACATGCAGGAAGCCCTAAGTCGGATCTCTACCACCCCACAAACCTAGTGTGACTCTGGGAGATGAAGTCAGGAGGATGAGACGTTCAAGACCATTTTCAACTTCTTAGTGACTCTGAGGCCAGCCTAGGCTACATGAGAATCTGATTCGTGAAAAAAATAAAATAGGAGCCAAAGAGGTGACTCGGTGATTAAGACCACTGTTGTCATGGAGGACCCGGGTTTGGTTCCCGCCTCTGCATGTAGCCCACAGTTATAGCTCCAGCTCTAAGGGATTCAACGCCCTCTCCTGGCCTTTGCACCCCCTCACAGATACATATGCCTAATCAAAACACACACACCCTGCAAATCAAACTGGGCAAGAAAACACCTCTTTAAACAATAAAATAGAACCAGGTGTAGTGGCACACGCCTTTAATCCCAGTACTAGAGAAGCAGAGGCAATGGGATCTCTGTGTGTTGTCAGGACTACACGTGTGCCTGCAGACCAGAAGAGGGCGCCAGACCTCATTACAGATGGTCGTGAGCAACCATGTGGTTGCCGGGAATTGAACCCAGGTCCTCTGGAAGAGCAGCCAATGCTCTTAACTACTGAGCCACCTCTCCAGTCCCATTACTTTTTTCAAGGGGAGCAGGAATGAGTGTCAGGTATAGTGGAAGAGTGGAGCCCTAGTACCCTGGAGCTCTAAGACCACACCCCTTCTTCTCAAATTCTTCCAGAGACTTTAGGCAGACAGGATACCCACGGGCCTGAGAGGCAGGAAGAACAGCAAGTAGAAACAGACCAACAAGTCTTGAAGGTGTATCCTCCCTCAGGGTTAGGGCCTCAGAGAATGGGATAGGAAAGTGGCGTAAGAGTCAGTGGACTTTATTTTTCTAGAGTTGTTTTGTTTTATGGGGGGGGGTTCTAGAGAGGGTTTCTCTGTGTTGTCTTAGCTGTTCTGGAACTTGCTCTGTGGACCAGGCGGGCCCTGCCTCTGCCTCCTGAGTGCTGGGATTAAAGGTGTGTGCCACCACCGCCCGGCATTTTTCATCCCTTAGGATGGGGAGACTGAGGCCACCCAAGAAGGTCATCAGAAGTTTTGAGGAACGTCGCCCACTGGACCTCTCCCTCTCCGACAACTTATTATCCAAGTGGATCACCTGTGTGATGAAGAGCTCTAATATCCGACCTCTTTCTCCTCTCTTTTGGATCATCTAAGGGCACCCCAGACAGGGACTGCCCTGCACCCCTGATGGGACAGAGGGTTTTTCACTAAACGTTGAAAAATGTATAGGCATCCCTCTTGAAAAAAACCAAAGCTGGGTGTGGCCAGGGCCTGAGAAATGCTGTCCCCGGGGTGGAGCCATTATCCTGACACTGGGTAAAGTCTGGGACGTCCTGGAAAAGCGCTAATACCCTAATGGGCAGTAATGGCCCTGCGCTCATCCACAAGGTCTCGCTAGGACCTTCTCCCTCAGACTACATGGCGCCTCTCTTTGGAGCAGACGGGATCAGCGTAACGAAAGGAGAAAGAAAAGAAACTGAGACAGGGCAGGAAGAGAAAGCGTGGAAAGGAAGGACAGGAAACTGGCCACCTTCAAGGATTCCGAGACCTCGCCCCGCCCACTTCCCCCGCCCGGGTCTAGCGCCCTTCCCTGGCTGTGGACCGCCAATAGCAGTTGCATAGCGCCACCTGGCGGAAATAAGTGTGATTGAGCCATCACGGGGAGGAACGGACTGATGGGGGGCGGGTGCTGAGGTAGGGGGTGAGGTAGCCCAAAAGTTCATCTTAGACCTCACTTCCCCGGTTTAAACCAATTCCAGTTCTGCAGAGCTGGAGTTCAGTTGAGGCCCTGGAGTTGGTTACAGCTTAGGAATGCGAGCCTTGGGGAATAACAGCGGAGAAGCCTGGCTTCTAATAGGCCTCAGGTAGCTTTGCCCTTCCCCCTAGACCTAGTACCTACTCCTCTAGAATGGGATAACTCTAGGCCACCTAGCCAAGTGCCCCAGCCCTTGTGACAAAACATTTGCTAACTACTTGGCGTTCGACACTAGCACTGGCAAGTACTGGGTAAACAAACATTGCTCAAACCCAAGGAAACAGGTTTGTGTGCTTTGGCCTAAACTTGGGAGGCCCAGAGCTGGAGAAGCCCCCAAAGAAGCCTGAAGTCCTGTAGAGTCTTTTGTAGTGTACACCCGAAGCTGTCCAGGCTGCTCTAGAATCTACGTATGGATCTTACAAGCTTCTGTAGGAGGTAGGTGTGGCAGGGAAAAAAGACAGCTGAGTATAGGGCATGAAGGCATTGAGCTTATCCCATGGGCAGTGGGAGACCCGTGGAGTCTTGTGGGAGGACGAGGTCAGGTCACAGATGGTTTGGAAGGTTAAAGTTGTTGCGAATCACAGTCAAAAATGGAGAAAACTGGGTCAGATGTGATGGTGCACACTTTTAGTCCCAGCACTCAGGAGGCAGAGGCAGGCAGATCTTTGTGAGTTCGAGATCAGCTTAGTCTACAGAGTGAGTTCAAGGACAGCCAGGGCTATGTAGAGAAACCCTGTTTCAAAAATAAAAATAACAAAATAAACAAAAAATAAAAAGTAGGGGAAAGTGGTTTATTTGAGGAGTCGGTCACCTCCAGTTCTCCTGTGCCAAAAAAGGGCTATATAACACCAAAGTAAATAGATTTCGAGCCCCACGAGAGTTAGGATAAGGCAGTATTCCCGGGTCAGCAAAAGGGCAGTTGCTATCAAACCTGATTACCTGGGTCTGATCCCTGGGATCTTGGTGGCAAAAGAGAACCAAGTTGTCCTCTGGCAGCTACATGTGTGCCTTGGAAGATGTACAGCCACACAAATAAATGAATAAATAGATGAAATAAATGTAAAAAATTCATAGAATTGGTGATATAGCTCAGTGGCTGCCAAGACTGATGACCTAAATTTGTTCCCTGGGACCCACATCACAGAAGGAGAGGATTAATTCTAGCACGTTGTCTGTCTTCTTACCTCCAGAGGCGTGTGTACAAGAACAAAAATAAAGAAATAAAACGCAATTTTAAAATTCTAGCATCCAAGAGCACTACCTGTGTGTGGTACACTTGCATACATGCAGGCAAAACACTCATTCATGTTTTTAACCTTTTAAAAGTGGGGAGCAGTGACATCTAGGGGCCAAGTTGGGGAGAGGACATACCCTGTAGGTCAGAAGGTATGGCCAGAGTGGGCATCAGGCAAGATCTACCTGCTCTTAGCCTTTGCTAAGTGGACCAAGGGAAGACCCTGCAACATGTTTTCAGGAGAGTTTTAACAGCAGGTGACAGGGAGATTTGCAGTCCCACAGGTAATCCCAGCACTCAGATCTCAGAAAAGACAGACTGAAGAAGTTTAAAGAGGCAGCAAAGGTGAAGGGTCCCAGGGTGTGAAGCTGAAGGGAGCCCAAATATGTGTGTGTGTGTGTGTGTGTGTGTGTGTGTGTGTGTGTGTTTTCTGTGTGTTTTGTTCCAAGCTAGCCTGGAAATTACTATGTAACTCAGGCTGGTCTCAAACTCACAGCAATCATCCTGTCTCAGTCAGCAAAGGGCTAGGATTATAGTCCTGGGCCACAGTGCACAGCTTGACAAAGCGTATTTGTGTGGGACCAGGGCAAATGCCCGGAAATACAGAGGAGGAGGAGGGGAAGGGTGGGCTTCCTTCCTAGAGTGGAAGCAGAACTATAAAGGAAGCTGACACCTCTGCTTATTTTCCTGGTGCTGAGGGGACGGGAGAGGTTCGAGAAAATTCAGGTTTAAAATTAATACCAGGAAGAGGACAAAAGTCCTGGTGGGCTGCCAGGGCTAAAGTCAAAGTTCACAGTGTAGAGAATCTCTTCAGTCTGGATAGAGGGCAGAGTGAGGGCCACCTGGAGATCCACTCACTAGGTTCTCCCTCCTGTCTGCGTCAGTGGACAGTCAGGACCCCAGGGGATTGTAAGAGTCTGTAGGATGGGTCACCATATTCTGGTCCCTGAACTGATGATGTACGCATCAGTTCACATCAGGGTAGGAATCACTACGCAGGAAGCAACCCAAGGCTCAGAAGCATCTTACTCCCCCCGCCCAACTGGGCCCCTAAGGACTGATTGATGAGCTGGTCTGGTCAGGGAGGGGGTTCTTGACATTTGCCAGGGCGTGGGCGCGCGGCTATGTGCGCCCTGAAGCTAGACGCAAAGTACACAACGGAGAAAAAGGGTCACAGGCGGGGGCGCAGGAATCAAGTTGGTTTTATTGACCAGACCAGACCACGAGGCCTGACTGAAGCTGTAAGCTGCCCTCCCTGGAAGCAGCCGTGACTGCGCCAGCCCAGGTCAGGCATGGGGGCGCCATAAATTCTTGGACCGGTCCTGGAGCCTGACACGGTCGGCAATGAGGATGTGCTGCAGGAACCATGGCTGGGCGCGAAGCGTCTCTCCGAGGGCTCTAGAAAAAAACAGAGCAGGACTCTGGAAAAAGGAGCAAAACTCTCCATTCTGTCCTCAGGATGATAGGGAAAGGACTCTGGGAAATTCTAACATAACGGGAGAGAAAACGGGTGGGGAATGTGGGCGCGTGGTGTCCACACCTGCAAAATCAGTACCCAGGAGGATGGGGAAGAATAATCCCTAACAAAGCAAACAAACAAACAAGGGGCTGGAGATACACTCTGTGAGCAGAGTGCTTGCTTAGGTCCTAGGTGCCATTCCTAGAACCACATAAACCGGGTGTTGTTTTGCACACCTGTAATCCTACCATTTGGTAGATGAGAGGAGGATCAGAAGGAGCTACAAAGCAAAAAAACCAAAACAAACAAAAAAGCAGTACGCAGGAACTAATAATGGTCGCAGACCCCTGGAAACTCCCTTGGCGGCTGCCACCCTTGCCTCCCCCTTCTCCCGCTTACCTAGCGGACTCCGCTGAGATCCAGGACCGGCGCCTCAGCGACTGCTCCGTTTGGCGGGCTCGCTCCAGGTCCCGCGGAATCCGGGGCGCATAGACGGGAGGGCCAGCCCGCCAGCTTCTGCGTCGTGCCTCCCACAGCTCCTGCACCGGCGAAGGAAGCAGGAGGAGAGCGCTGCCGGCGACCCGCCCCGGGACCAGAGAGTCCGGGGAGAGCGGTCCAACGGCCCCACCCAAGGCACGGCGCCACAGGTAGGGCGAGCGGCGCAACCCCATGAGCAGACCCGAGGCGCGACCCACGGTGTGATAGCGGGGACTCGCCACGTGCTTGTACCAGGCCCCGGCGGGCAGCGGCAGCAGGAGCAGAAGCAGCAGCAGCGGCAGCAGGGGCCGGTTCACAGGAGCCCCCGGCCCGGGGCACCGCACTTCTCCGTTCGGCGCCAGCGCGCTCACGTCTATGGGCCCTTGGCGGGTAGACCAAGAACAGGGTTTATGCCAGCTGCAGTGGAATTAGGACGTCGGAGCTCAGGAGGCTGGAGGAGACTAGTCAGTCGGTGCGACTAGAGTCTCTCAGTGGCCACGCCCCGGCTCGCCCCCGCGGCACCTGCCACGCTCACCCAAGGGAGAGGAGGATGGAGAGTGAGAGGGAGGGAGGGAGAAGAGGGAACCAGGCAACTAGAAGCATCTCACTGAGTAGGTCGCCAGCTGGACCGCTCTTGAGGCTCCAGGTTGGGATATCCCTGCTTTAAGCTTTATTTTTTGTGTTTTTAAAAATTGTATGTGTACCTAAGAGCAGGTGCCATAGGAGTTGGGTATCTCTGGAGTGAGGTGGACACAGTAAATAGAAGTATGCTATACCTCTTCAGAAAGGTCGCCCGTTAAAAATATAGCCATTGTGGGGCTGGAGAGATGGCTCAGAGGTTAAGAGTACGGACTGCTCTTTGAAAGGTTCAATTCCCAGCAACTACATGATGGCTCACAACCATCTGTAATGAGATCTGGTGCTCATACATGTGGACAGAACACTGTATACAAAGGAAATAAATCTGGAAGGTGGTGGTGCATACCTTACCTTTTATACCACACTTGGGGAGGCAGAAGCAGGCAGATCTCAGTAAATTGGAGGCCAGCCTGGGTTACAAAGTGACAGCCAGGACTATTATACTGTTATACAGAGAACCTTGTCTCAAAAAACAAAAACATTTGTGTGTGTGTGTGTGTGTGTGTGTGTGTGTGTGTGTATGCATGCCATTGTACAGGCATGGTCCACATGCCTATAATCCCAGCACTCCGGAGGCAGAAGAGTTACAAAGATTTTGAAGTCAATCTGAGACCTTAACCAAAGCCCCTGGTTCTCATGTAGCCCAGGCTAGCCTTAAATGTGCTATGTAGCTTAAAATGACTTTGAACTACTAATTCTCCTGTTTCTACCCCCAGTGCTAATATTACAGATGCATGCCTCCATTCCCATCTTGAAATACCTTATTTTGATCTCCAAACAAAAGGAGTGGGGGTGGAGGCTGGAGAGATGGTTCAGCAGTTAAGAGAACTGGCACCTAGGTTTGATTCTCAGCACCTACATAGTGGCTCACAGCAGTCAGTAACTCTAGTGCTTCTTCTGGCCTCTTTGAGCACCAGGCATGAATGCAACACAGAGATGCACATTCAGGACAAATACCCATACATTCAAACATACCTACATACACACAAACACCCATACATACATACAAACACCCATGCATACATACAAACACCCATACATACATACAAACATCCATACATACAAACACCCATACAAACATACATACATACATACATACATAATACATACAAACACTCATACATACCTACCAACACCCATGCATACATACAAACACCCATACATACAAACCAACACCCATGCATACATACAAACACCCATACATACAAACACCCATACATACCTACCAACACCCATACATACATACCAACACCCATACATACAAACCAACACCCATGTATACATACAAACACCCATACATACCTACCAACATCCATACATACATACAAACACCCATACATACATACAAACACCCATACATACCTACCAACACCCATGCACACATACAAACACCCATGCATACATACAAACACCCATACATACCTACCAACACCCATGCATACATACAAAATGATAAAAATTTTAAAGATTGAGTTTTAAAAAGAGAGTGGAGGAGGAACCTACTCTAGAGACAGAAGAGTCCCAGGGTCCTAGCAAGTAGCAAGGTTCTCTAGGCCTCCCTCACTTGAAGAACTTGACTCTGGATTTGGGTGGCTTATGAGGGTGGAGAGAGGCCACAGTCTCCTCTGCCTAAGTTTCCTTTTTTTTATTTTTTATTTTTTTTGGTTTTTCGAGACAGGGTTTCTCTGTTTAACAGCCCTGGCTGCCCTGGAACTCATTTTGTTGATCAGACTGGCCTCAAACTCACTAGTTTCCTCCTTTTAAATGAGGGAATGTTTGTTGGGTGGTGGCGGCGCACACCTTAGCCTTAAGCCAAGCACTCTGTAGTCAGGCAGGTGGATCTCCGTGAGTCCAAGACCATCCTGGTCTACAGAGGAAGTTCCGGGAAATTCAGTGCTGTTATACAGAGAAACCCTGACTTGGAAAAAAAAAAAAAAAAGAAACCCTGTCTTAAAAAACAAACAAAGAGGGGGCTGGAGAGATGGCTCAGAGGTTAAGAGCACTGACTGCTCTTCCAGAGGTCCTGAGTTCAATTCCCAGCAACCACATGGTGGCTCAGAACCATCTGTAATGAGATCTGGTGCCCTCTTCTTGCCTGTAGGCATACATGCAGACAGAACACTGTATACATAATAAATAAATAAAAATATTAAAAAAAATAAAAAGAGGGGTTTTTTAAAAAAAAACACGCAGGCACACGTGTAGGCAGATATTGAAAGCATAATAAATGAACAAACATTTAAAAAAAAACAAACAAAGAAAAACATAAAATGAAGAACTGTTGGTAGTGATCGCTTCATCTTGTGTTTATAAACAAATAATGCCAGGTGTGAACAGTACATCTCTGCTACCCAAACACTTGGGAAGCTGGGGCAGGAAGATGGTGCGGTCCAGGCCTGCCTGAGTCACATAGTGAGGACCTGATTTCTATCCGAGGCAGACCAGGTCCTACACAGCCAGTTTCAGGCTAGTAAGACCCCCGTATCTAAACAAACAAAAACAAAAAGTACACACACATCTGCAAGGTGAGGGTCTTGGTACCATATCTGACACCCAGTAGGCACTCAGCCCTTGTAGGGGAGATTTTAGTGTTGCTGCTTCAACAGCTCCTGGTCTGTCAAAGTGAGCTCTTAAGTGAACACTTCCATGGGGTGGGCAGAGGATACAGAGGGGGCGGGCTGCTTGGCGTGAGGACCTTCGGGACCAGACAAGCGTCAATGAAAGCCGCCCCCATCAACCAACGTGTTCCTATGGGAGCCCTAGTCTTAGAGAGAGCGGCCTGGAGAGTGCTGTGGGCGGCGGCTAGGCACGACACAGGCCTTTAAGGTCCCCAGGCGCTGTTGCTCACTTCCAAATCAGGGACCTCAGGGAAAAACAATGGAGCTGGGAAAGTGTGGGGCGACCCCTGGAGGTAGCCTGGGAAATGCAGCTCCATATGACCATATCAATTGTGTGGTCAGTCCTGAGATTGACCCCCAAGTACTAAGCAGGCTGCGTTAGGAAAAGAGAAAGTTGCCAGTGTGGACAACGTAGGAAGACCTTGTCTGCAATTAAAAACTTAAAAAGGGGTAGGAGGCTGGAGTGATGGCTCAACGGTTAAGGGTATTTGTTGGTCTTGCAGAGGATCCAGGTTTGGATCTCAGCACCTGCATGGCAGTTTACGACCATTTGTAACTGCTTCCAGGTAATGCAGCACGCTGTTCTAGCCTCCATGGGCACCACATGCATGTGCTGCACATACATACACGCAGTCAAACACTCAGGCTGATCTCTGAGAGTTCGAGGTCAGCTTGGTTTAGAGAGCAAGTTCCAGGACAGCCAGGGCTACACAGAGAAACCCTGTCATGAAAAACAAGCAGACAAGCAAGCAAACAAACAAAAGTCTGAGAGGGGAGGGGCAGGAACTGAATATACGGTTCTGTGATAGAGTCCTTCTTAACATGTGCGAGTCCCTAAGTTCAATTCCAAAGAAAGAAGGGAGGATCCAGACAGACGACTCAGCAAGTGAGGTGATTGCCCAGGGAAGCCAGAAGAGGGCGTCAGGTCCCCTTGAGGTGGAGTGTAAGCAATTGTGAGGGGCCTGACTTGGATGCTGGAACCAAATTCAGGTCCTTTGAAGATCAAGTGCTCTTAACTGCCAAGCATCTCTCCAGTCCTCACGCAGGATATTTACATTTCCTCTCTTCCTGAAAGCTACAATATTTTCCTTTGTTTTTCTATACCCTACTTTGATGTTTTTCCTAGATATTCCAATAGCTGATAAGCTTTCTTGCAGTATTCTTTCCCAGTCTCCAGGCACCTGAAGCGGACCATTGCAGCAGCCCTACTCAAGAGACTCTGGAGCTTTCTTCAGAGAGCTGGTAGCTGCTGACTCCAGTCTGAGCCTCCACTTGCAAAGCCTCTACAGTATCTGTGGCTTCACTCAGGTTGGAATCCTGTTTTCTGAACTCTGGGTCTTCCATGATGCGTTTCCTAATTTTGAAGAAGCAAGTCCTGCAGGATCTCAGGGAATTCTAGCTGCCGGTGTTCTAGGTTCATAAGTCCACTGTCATTTTTATTTTTATACTTTATTCTTTTATTTAATTAGCATTTCTTCATGTCATTTTTACTTTTTCTTGGTGGTTCTGGGGTTTGAAACCAGCCAGCGTCTTTGGCAGTACTCAGGCAGGCATTCTACTACAAGATCCACTCCCAAATCCGTCATTTTGATTATTTAGATTTGTGTTACTTTATTTTGTGTGCACACATGTGTGTGTGGCGTGCATGCCACGATGTGCAAGTGGAAGCCAGAAGACAACTTGCAGGAATCAGTTCTTTTCCTCTGCCACACAGGCCCCAGGCTGTTAGGCTTGGTGATAGAACATTCACCTACTCGGCTGTCATAGACTCCCATTCTGATTCTAGCCCCTTCTTTAAAAAAAAAAAAAACAAAAAAAAACCCACTTTATTTATTTCTATTTATGTGTTGAGTGTTTTGCCTGCACACATGTGCCCTACATGCATGCCTGGTGCCCACAGAGGCCAGGAGAAGGTGTTAGATCCCCTGAAACTAAACTTACAGATGGTTATGAGTGCCACATGGGTGCTGGGAAGCCAACACAGGTCCTCTGCATGAGCAGCAAGTGTTTGTTTTTGGAGACAGGGTTTCTCTGCAGCTTTGGAGCCTGTCCTGGAACTAGCTCTATAGACCAGGCTGGCCTTGAACTCAGAGATTCACCTGCCTCTGTCTCCTGAGTGCTGGCCTTAAAGGCATGCGCCACCACCACACAGCAGGTGTTTTTAACTATTG